GATACTGCCTCGGAAACCCAAGGAGGGGTCGCTATGAGTTGGGGCCGACTCGACGGCATATAACAACAACAACAACACTCAGCAGTATCCAAGTTGTCTGTGCTGTCAGGATCGCTGACAGCCCACCACTTCATATCTCCTTTTTGGTGTTTTCATGCAAATTTTTCTACTAGTTGGAGTTTAATCCTTCCTTTCAAAGCTCAGGGCTCCAGGATTATCTTCTGTATCTGTGTTAAGTGGTTCCTCTTCTCTTCGTTGCAGAGGTTCTGTGTAGCTTGTCCACCTATTCCACCATCTTACCAGAACTACCCCCCACCCCCCAAGGGTTTTCTTGACTGTGATCTTTATGGAAACAACTTTCCAGGCCTTTCTTCCGGGGTACCACTGGGTTTGAACAGGCAATCCTTTGGTTAATAGTCCAGTGCAAACTGTCTGCACCACCCAGGGACCGAATGGGGGAGGGATGACCATGAAAACAGATTTTCCTCTTTGACCGTGTGCCTAGATTGAGTCCCTTCTCCTGGAGCAGCCCTCTGTTGGGCTCTCACTGTGTGCTAAGTGCTGTGCAATGTTACCTAGGTCAGCTCCCTATGTCCAGGAGGTCTTTGTGAACTCGCCTGTGCTCTGCTCAGAAGGAGGTAGGATGCCCATATTTTGAGCCAACTGTCAGTTCCAGGGTCGACCAGGACACCCAGCTCACTGTCCCATGTTCTTACCCTAGGACATCCTGGAGAGAACCCTGGCACGGCAGTACCTGGCCAAAGTGATCGAGTGCCTGAAGCTGCAGATCCAAGAGGAGACCCGGTGCCGGCTGGCTGCCCTCTCCCGCAGCCTGGAGCTGCTGACAGTGGAAGGGAAGCTGTCTGGGCAGCAGAGGGAGGAACTACTGACTCAGCAGCACAAAGCCTTCTGGGAGGAGGCTGAGAACTTCAGCCGGGGTGAGCAGGCAGGCCTGTGGTGCCCTGGTCTGGTACCAGGTCCTCGTGGGGTCCCCTGTGCTGCTGAGGTGTGAGGGCCCAGGCAGAGGCAGCACTTGCACAAGTGGAGACATGGAACCACATGGCCCACAAGACAGTGTCCAGGTCTGCTGGAGGACAGCCTCCTGGGGCCGCCGTCACAAACTGCCACTGAGTGGGTGGTTTGAAGCAACAGAAGTGTATTCACTCACATTCTGGAGGCTGGGAGTCTGAATTCAGGACGTCGGCAGGACTAGGCTCTCTCTCCCCGTGGGCTCTTGGGGAAGGCCTCTGTCTCTCTCTGCTTCTGTAGCCCCAGGTGTTTCTTGATGTTCCTTGGCTGCTTGTCCTTATGTCTTCACTGGTGTCTGTCTCTCTGGGTCTCTTCTGCTCTTTTTATAAGATACCACAGAGCTCTGGTAGCATAGTGCCTAAGGTACTTGACTGCTAACCAGAAGGCTGATGGCTCAAACCCACCAGCCTCTCCTCGGAAGGAAGGTTGGGCAATCTACTCCTGTAGAGATACTGCCTGGGAAACCCAACGAGGGGTTGCTGTGAGTTGGGTCCGACTCGACGGCACATAACAACAACAAAAACAACACACAGAAGGGGTGAGGTTTAGGGCCCACCCTGCTCCAGTGTGGCCTCATTATCATCACAGAGGCACCACTATTGCCACACAGGGTCACCGTCACAGCAACAGTGGTCGGGACTCAGATATATATTTGGGAGGCAGGGGGACAGAATTCAATCCACAGCACTTGGTTTTTGAATCTCAACTCTAGTCTGAATGTTCTTGTCTCCCTTGCAGACTTGGACTCTTGTCCACTCTTGCCTCCTGCACCCACCCACCTAGCCCCTCCCTCACTTGCTTTTTTGTCCAAAGCTAACATCCTCTCCACCTTTTCCCAGGAAAATGCCTCTTATTTACGTCCTGGTCACATCAGCCAGCCACTCTGCACAGCAGATAACTGAAACCTCTTGTGGGACCTTGAGCCCTGGACCTGGGCTGTGGGAGGGGGTCCCTTCATATAATGAGGCTTTGTGGGACCAGGGTCTCCCCACACCAACCTGAATGACAAAACCAAAAGAACAGTGGGATTTGCCCATGTTCCGCCCCCTCCCCAGGGCTGACAGAAGAACCCACTGGAGGTCTTGCTGCAGGAGGAGGCTGTGAGGTTGTGTGTTCCTTCCACTGCAGAGTTTGTCCGGCAGGGCAAAGACATCGTGAGGACATCACTGGCCCACCAGGCGGAGGCAATGGGCAGGCTCGAGCTGGACCATGATGAGGAGCGGAGAAGCTTCCTGACTGTTGCTCAGCCAGCCTCTGACCCAGAGGGCTTCCTCAAGGTGACCTCCTGACTCCCACCAACATCCAAGGTGCCATTACCAGGTGTAGCCCTGCAGGGTGCTGGGCAGTGGCTCTGTCCCCTTCTCTTGCACAGGAAGTGGGAGGCCTTCACATTCATCAGACAAGACGTGAACGTCTCATCTCCCACGTACAAGCCGAGGGACCTTAGACAAATCCTTGTCCTCTGTGTACTCCAGTTCCTCATCTCTAAACTAGTGGTTGGTGTAGCACGGCCTTCACTTAGATGGGAGGCTCCCCCAGAAGGACCCAACGTGATTGAGCCCTGCCAGTGCCCCCCCATTCCTGCTCCTGGGCCAGCCTGGGAGATGGGAGGGTGGGGGCCTGAGACCAAGACAGGGCCAGTGACTTGGTCAAGGTTGTGACAGGCAACAAGAGGACACAAGTCTGAGTTTCTATGGAGAGAGCTGTGAGTGGGGCTGGCACATGGCAAGGGCTCCCCAGAGGTGACTAGTGTACAGTGGCCCCAAGGGTGCGTTGTATGGACCAGAGAGGACCAACCATGTCCTGAAATGTAGGACAGGCCCACCCATATGGGGAGGGCCCCTCAATGGTCAGGTGGCAAGTTCTAGCAAAGTAAGGTGGCCCCCAACCCTGCACCTGGGACTGAGTGGGCCAGACTAGGAGGTCTGACTGAGAAGGGGATAGAGGGACCCCCCATGGAGGAAGGAAGCCAGATGTCACCCTGCAAGAGGGAGAAGCAAGTGGCATGGTAATCAGAGTGAAACAGAACTCTGTCTGCTCCAGGTCATTGCCCTGGTGACTGGAGACTGGCTGAGTCACCTTGAGCACGTGCCATAGCCCCTCACCCTTCAGCTTCCTCATCTGTGAAATGGACGTGGTGGCACCTACCTCTCAGGGCTATTAGGATTCTGTGAGACCAAGGCTGGCTGCCCCTCTGTGTTCCATTCTGCTCCACCCAGGACACAGTCCAGGTTCAGGCATGGAGCCCCCTTCCCTGGGGGCCAGTGAGGAGGCTGCAGCAGCACCCCAGAGAGAAGCCAAAGGCGGGGACCACCTGAAAACAGGAGCCTTTCAGCCCCGGGTCCAGCTGCCCCTCCCTACCCAGCGATCCCCCTTCCTGGGCCCATCCTGGAGGGGAGTCTTGGGGTTTGTCCTAAAGGGCCAGGGTCAGGGGGCACCTATTTCTTCCTTTGATGTTAGAGCAGGAAGATTAGCTTACACTGCTCTTGGTTACTCCAAGGCTTCTGGTCCTCTCTCCTTGAATGTCACTTCACTCAGTGAGAGCCCTGAGTACAGAGACGGTGACTGAGGTACTGTGTGCTAGCTCCTCAGCACAGACTGGGCTCATGCTGCCATTAGGAGATAGCAGATGCAGGAAGGAAGGGTTGAAAGAATGAACAGATATATGGGTGAGTAAGTGAGTGAATGTACAGATGAATGAGTGAATGGACAAATGGACGAGCAGATGAATAAATGAAGGAACAAACAAAGGAATGGATGAATAAATCCACAAACTAATGAATGGACAAATGAGTGGATGAATGAATGGAAGGAAGGATTGAAGGATGGATATGGGTGGGTAGATGGAAGGAAGGGAGGAAGGGAAGGGAGGAAGGGAGGAAAGTAGGAAGGTAAGTAGGTTTCTTAGATGGATGGAAGGAAGGAAGGTGGTAGCCCTGGCCAGGTTGGTAGATTGCTTGGACAGTTGGAAGGATGATGGATGAACACCAAACTCAAGCACTGTGTTCCAAATTCTCCCTTTTCTGGTCCTGCCCTTCCCTTTACCCACCCTCCCTGTTCTTGCTCAGCTCCTAATAACTTAACATCACTTGAGACCGTATCCAATTTTCCCCAAAGTCAGCCGGTTCTCACCTCCCCATCTTTGAGGCTGTTGTCCCTTGACCCTGGATGGCCTTGGCTTCCCATGTCCTGCATGGAACTGTCCTCGTGTTTACAACTCAGCTTGAACATGGCCCCCACTGCAGCTTTCCCCTACACAACCACCTTCCCAAAGAGGGCCCATCACTGTCTTGACACTCCTCTCTGACGGTGTTGGGAACGTCTGATGCACCGTGGTGTCTGCCCTCAGGCCTGCCACGTGGCTGGGCCCCAGGCCAGGGCTGTGTCTGGTTCCTCCCAGAGCCCAGCCACGTGGCCAGGCCCCACTGGCAGTTGACCACACTGACCTGCGACCTGTGTATGCATCTCTGTGTTAGGCTTCAGGCTTCTCCAGGTGGTCTCCAGGGCTGGGTGTTGGTCCCTCACAGCCAAGGTCTGAGGGTGCGGTTGGGAGAATGTGGCCAAGAGATGGAAATGACAGTGTGACCTGTAGGCCCTCCTGATACTGGAAGGGCTCTCAGTTTGGGTTAGCAAGGCACACTCCGGGGTTTTCCAGGAAAACGTGGAAATCAGGGTGGCCAGTCCAGACTCGGCCACAATTGACAGTCGTGGCAGCCACGTGACATCCCTGTGCCTTGTATCTGTATAATTGAAGGGTCAAGGTCAGGGATGGAGAATTTTCTGGAAAGCATCTTCTAGAGTTGAGCTCCCGTTTCGCCCACAGGCATTTCACGGGGTCCTGGAGAGACAGAGGCTGACACGGAGCCACCTGGAGGAAGAGGAAGATGTCAGAACTACCGAGGCCATGGCTGTGCTCTGCCAGGTGTGTGGTCTTCCGGGCAGGGCCTGCAGAGAGGCCTCAGGGTCTGTGTGTGAGTGAGAACCTGGCTCCTCTTGGTCCAGACATTCCAAAGACCCAGGTTCAGGGCCAGCCCTGGCACCCACTGGCCATGTGACCAAGTCACATCCCCTCAATGGTCCTGCCTGTCCAATGCTGTAACTCCAGAGGTTGGTGTGGGTCACGTGTGAGGCCCCGTCTCCATGTTCTTTCCTTCAAATCTCCTGTCCTTGTTGCCTAGCATGGCTATAGCACAAACACGATGGATGGTGACTTTAAAGAACTGATGTCTACTGTCTCACAGCACTGGAGGCTGAAAGTCCAAATCAAGGGTTCGGCTGCATCCATTCCTTCTGTGGTCTCTTCCCTGGTCTCTGGTGTCAGCTGACGATCCCTGCCATGCCTTTGCTTGTAAAGGGACCACACATAGCATCTGTCTTCCCTCTGTATCTCTCTATCTTTTCTGCTCTTTTTACAAACCCAGGAAGGATTAAGGTTAGGACCCACCCGAAGGTGCTGTGACTTTATGAACATAACACAGCAAACTCCATTTCTCAACTTGATCAAGTACAGGTGCCAGGACCTCAGTGCATATTGTAGGACACAGTTCAGTCCATAACATCCAAATGCAGGAGAATGTGGGGGACTCTACTTGTAAGATTTAGTGTTTTTAGTTCAGACAAAGGAGAGCTGAGTGATAGAGTTGTAGGTTTTTATTATATTATTATCTGCAAGGGTTTTTTTGTCACAGATATTTTTATTAAGGGACCGTCCATCACTTTGGGGGAGGAGGCGATGGGGGTGAAGAAAGCAGAGTGGTGGGCAATGAGGCAGGCCAACAAAGGGCACGTTCTGAAACACCACCACTGTGCCAGGTCATTTTGACTGATGGCATCTGGGGAAGCCGTAACACAAATCCCACAGGTGGGGGGGCCTTTAAAGAGCAGGTGTTTATTTGCCCACCATTCTGGAAGCTAAAAGCCCAAACCAGGGTCTCGGCCAACTCTGTTCCTTCCTCGGAGGTTGCCCTGGGAGTTCTGTGGTTCCTTGGAGTTCCTTGGCTTATAGAGGGTCCTCACGTGGTGTCTGTCTTCTCAGTTGTGTATTGTCTGCTATTCTGCTCTGTTTATATGTTAGAAGTGATTAGGGTTAGGACCCACCCTGCACTGGTATGGCCTCATTAGCATAGCATAGGAAAACCCTATTTACAAGGACAGGGGTCAGGATTCCAACACATTTTGGGAGCATACAGTTCAACCCATAAGAGATGCTAACGGATCTTTTGAAGAAAAGTGGAGTCCCCATAAGGTTTGTGGTTTATCAAATAACTGGTCCGAGTGTGTGGATGGAGGTGAGGCAGAGAGAATCATCTGGAAAGTGACCAAGGGAAAGCCCAGATGGTCTTTGACAGGAGACACCAGAGGTTAACAGCACAGCGAGTCAGGAAGGAGCTTGCTTCACTTGGGGGCATTTCCCAAGATGTATGGGTTCCTCCTTAAGAGTCTTTATTTTTTTTGGTGACTGCTAACCAGAAGGCAGGAGCTCCAGTGGCATAGTGCCTAAGGCACTTAACTGCTAACCAGAAGGCTGACGGTTCAAACCCATCAGCCACTTCTCAGAAGGAAGGTTGGACAATCTACTTCTGTAGAGATACCACCTTGGAAACCCAAGGAGGGGTCGCTATGAGTCAGAAACAACTTGATGGCAGTGAGTTTTGTGTTTTGTTTGAGTTTAGTGCCTGGCGGGCAGCATGTGGTGGAAAGGCGGAGGGAAGTGCATGACTCTGCCCAGTGTGGAAGTGTACCTATAACCTACCTTGCGGTTCTCGGCCTCAGGAGCTATACCACAGCACCGTGAGAACCTTCCAGAAGCTTGTGGACGTCCTGTTCCTCCAGACGCTCTCAGGAGTGACCGGCCTCTCCCAGGTGGAGTGTGAATACTTGAGACAGGAGGTCCAGGAGAACGCCGCCTGGCAGCTGGGGAAGTCAGATCGTTTCCGGAAACAGCAGTGGAAACTCTTCCAGGATGGCCAGGAACAAGAAAAGCAAGTACGTGCATTTGTTTGAAATGAGAGTCTGGAGTCAGCATGCTTGGGACTTACAAAGACCCGGGAGAGATACTGAAAATTGAGCATCTTACAATCCCTATCGTAAGGCATTAAGTCTCGTTGTTGCAACTTTGACAACAGCCCACCAAGGGGCTGGAGCAAGAGAGCTGAGCCCTCGGCACCCAGCGGGAGGTCCGTAGGGATTGTCATCAGTTGATCTATGAAGAAAGTGCAGTCTCCAAAGTCTACTGGTGTTTATCAGAAATGGGGGGGTTGTGGGAGGAAGTCATCACCTGGGGACACTGAGTGTCTGTTAAGGGTGATGGAAAAATTTGGAAATAGGTAGTGGTGATGGTCACACAATATAATGAATATAATTAATGTCAATCAACTATACATGGAAAGAAAGTGGGAAGAGCAAGTTGTTGTGTTGTATATATACTATTGTTAGGTGCTGTCGAGTCAGTTCCAACTCAGGGCAACTCCACATGTGCAGAACAGAACTGCCCTCCATAGTGTTTCCAAGGCTGTGTGACCTTTCCGAAGGTCAAGGCTGTGACCTTTCTGAAGCAGATTGCCAGGCCTGTCTTCCAAGCACCTTTGGGTGGCTTCAAACCACCAACCTTTTAACAATTTGCAACACCCAGGGGTGTTCTTTCTGTGTGTGTGTGTGTGTGTGTATACATACATGTACACATATTGGTCCAGTTGTATGGGGACCAGCAAAACATGTTATTTACAAAGATGGAAGTACATAGTCAATAAGAAGGTGACAGGAAGGAAGTGGTTCACGGAGAAATGGACTCAGCTGGGAAGTTTATCTGATGGTTAAAACCATGGAGATGTGTGGGAGACAGAATGACTCCAGAAATGTCCAGGTCCCACTCCTGGGAACCAATGCCTATGTTACCTTATATGGCAAAGGGGACTTTGCAGGAGTGATTAAAGTTAACAGGTATAAGATACTTTTCCTGGGTTGTCCATTGGTCCCAATGTAATCACAAGGGTCCTTAAAATCAGGGGAAGGCGGGTCAAAGTCAGAGGAGGCTGTATGGTGATGAAAGGCAGAGGTGGGAGTGATGTGTCCACAAGCCGAGCGATGCGGGTAAACTCTGTTGCTGCTGTTAGGTGCCACAAGCCGGTTTTAACTGACAGCAACCCTTTGTGCAACAGAACAAAACACAGCCCAGTCCTGCAACAGCTGCACAAGTGTGGCACTGTGTGTGTCTATTGTTGCAGCCACTGTCAGTCCGTCCCGTTGAGGGTCTTCCCCTTTTCACTGACCCTCTGCTTTATGCAGCACGACATCCTTCTCCAGGGACCAGTCCTTTCCGACAACGTGACCACACAGCAGGTGAGACAAAGTCTGGCCATTCTCACTTCCAAGGAGCATTCTGGCTGCACCTCCTCCAGGACGGATCTGTTCCTTCTTCGGGCAGTCCATGGTGGTTTCACTATTCTTCGCCAGCACCATAACGCAAATGCATCAGTTCTTCTTTGGTCTTCCTTATTCATCATCCAGCTTTTGCATGTGTATGAGGCGATTGAAGATACCATGGCTTGGGTCAGGGGCACTTTAGTCATCAAAATGACATCTTTGCTCTTTAACACTTAAAGTGGTCTTTTGCAGCATATTTGCCCAGTGCAATACATTGTTTAAGTTCTTGACTGCTTCTTCCATGGGCATTCATGGTGAATCCAAGTAACATGAAAGCTTTGACAACTTCAACTTTTCCTCCATTTATCATGATGTTGCTTTCTGGTCCAGTTGTGAGGAATTCTGTTTTCTTTCTGTTGAGGTGTAGTCCATACTGGAGACTGTAGTCTCCCGTCTTCATCAGTAAGGGCCTTTGTTTCCTCATCTGTAAGATGTGGTTACTTATAGCATCTACTTACTAATATTTCTAGGATGATTGAGGTAACGTGAGTGAAAAGTTCAGAGCGATGCCTAAACAAACCAACCAACAAACAAAATTGCCATCAATTCAGTTCTGACTCATGGAGACCCCATGGGTAACAGAATAGGACTGCTCCACAGGGTTTTGTTGGCTGTAATCCTCACAGAGCAGATTACCAGGCCTTTCTTCTGCAATGCTGCTGGGTGGTTTGAACTGCCCACTTAGAGGTTAGTAGTTGAGCACAACTGTCGAAATAGAAAAACCAAACTCCCTGCCATTGAGTCGATTCAACCCCTCCTTGGGTTTCCGAGGCAGTATCTCTATGGAAGTAGATTGCCCAACCTTCCTTCTCAGGAGTGGCTGGTGGGTCTGATCCACCAGCCTTCTAGTTAGCAGTCAGATGCCTTAGGCACCATGCCACCAGAGCTCCCAGTGGGTTGGCAGTCGAGCACAAATGCCTGGCACAAAGTACATGCTCAATTAGTGTGTTATCATCAGCATCATTATCGTTACTATTATTAACATCGGAAAAGCCCTTTCTTAGAGGTTCTCAGATA